TATGCTAACAAGTAGACCTATGTCCAGTTAGGTCACCTATCTGGATACCCTTGCTTTAGATGTAATGTAGCACTATAATTAGCTTAGATATATGTCAATCAATAGAAGTGCCAGCTAATTTTCTCCAGAATCTTTCATGAGATATTGAATTAAAGCCTGCCCTTAAGTCTATAAAGGCAATATAAAAAATATCTTTAGCCAAGTTATAAATATTTCTCTGCGAGACGGTGTAATATAATGCACTAGACTAGGCCTGCCCACCTGCAGCCTACGTCACCATGGAGAGCTGGTAACGCAGCAAGATTGTAAGCCTGTAACATTATTATGAGATTTACTTATACACATTAACTATATTATATATTTTAGATGTGGCCCAAGACAATTCCTCTTCACTCAATGTGGCCCAGGCAAGCCAAAAGATTGGACAAAGATAATCCAATCTAGATAATCCAATCTACACTGGATTATTTGGAATGCAATCTTGCAATGTACTAGAACAAGATGTGCACATAAGGGAGGAGAGTGACAATCCAAGAAGCAGAAGTAGTAACATCCATAGACACTAAATCTCCAGTGTCAGAAAGAACCCAAGTAGACAGAGAGCAAGAGTATAAGTGGTGAATTTTGTTCTAAAACTTGTAGAATTTTTAGGGAGTGTCTCTAAATAGAGATAAAGATTGGGGTGGTATGGCATGGCATGGATCCACACAGAAGATTGATCCACTAAGTCAGAATCAAGATACTGATATAGATTGTTATTGTACAAGAGTGTTCCTTTCTAGATAAACAGGTTAGGTAGGTTATCTGCCATCTGGGGAAAAGATGTATTGTGCTTGATAAACCATTGGACAAATAATAACTTTGTCACCATAATTGTCATTTGGCTCAATTTTATATTCATGCTTATCAAAAGCAGACTAATTTCTGCAGGCATGATAACTATAAGGCATTTGGAACAGACTAACAAATTCTCCCATAGGTCAAAGGAATTTCTGATTTCTTTCTTGGTTATAGTGTAAGATAAATACAATGGTAATTCAGACTGTTCCTTCCTATTTATTTTAATCACATATAGAATATGTGAAAAACAGCCGCAAAAAAAACCATACACAAAATGAAAGCAATATAAATAATAAGACAAGATGAGAACAACAGTAATTACATTTCTCATACAATATGTGTTTTTCTTGATGCAATTAAGAGTAACAGGAAACGGTTCCATCCTCAGTTTAAATGTTTCATCAAAATGTATCAAAAGTCATATTTGAATTTAATACATATAATCATTCCAGAGAATTGTGCAACTTACTTGCCATAACCTTCCTCCAATTCCTTTAATTGATTTTTTACTGCCCTGTAATTGATCTGTAATGTCTGCAGACGTTTCTTACGTTTTTCATGGGCTTGTCTCAACTCATCATTTTCTTGAATCTGCATTATACCAAAACAAACGACTCAGTAAATCTTAACATCTTAAAATGACAATTTGTTATTGTTGAATTTCTTACTTATGACCAATTATCAAATGCAATTTATTACACCTAAATTATAATTCAAAGAATTCGGTCTTAAATAAAGTTCAAAAACTACAAAAACTGCTTGACTATGAACTAAAGCAGTGGCCCCCAACCTTTTTTGTACCATGGCCTGGTACAAAATGATCCACGGACCGGTACCGGCATCAGCACGCACAACCAAGGCAAGCCGAGCCGAGAGACTGGCCAGCCAGCCATCCCCTGCTTCTCCCCGCCACCTTCAACTCCTCCTTTGTACCTTCTCGCAGTCGATGGGCTTTTCAGGCTCTTTCTTAATCTCCTCCTGAGTAACGCGGGACTTCACCGCCATTGGGACGGCTCTTCGTTCGAAGCCGCCCCCCCCCCCTTCGACGAAACTAAGGCGTGAGGATTTCTTCAGCACCCAAACGCCGCTTTCCAACCAACGACCGACAAGCTCACCTGGAAGCACTTTCTCAAGTGCTGTCGAAACAAGATGGCGGCGCCCAAGCAAAATAGGCAGCCCGGTATAAAATGATCCACGGACCGGTAACGGTCCGGGGCCTGGTGGTTGGGGACCACTGGCCTAGATACTTCCAATTTTATGTGGGAGAAAACCCGAATAACCAAAGATCCACATATACATACATACATACAAACATACATACATACATACATACATGATTATAATGAAAATATAAATGCTTAATGATAACAAAATAAAACATTCCGGGCTGGAAGCCTCCCCCCACCTGCACCTTCCAAAGAGACAGAAGAGCCTTCCAGATGCCAGGTGGACGATTGAGAGAGCTCAGATCTTCAGCCACAGAAAAGCTGGTGGGGGGAGGTGGCTCTTCCAGCCTCACCTGGAGATAGGCAAGGAAAGGTGTCCCTGGGGGCACTTTGCTTGCTTTCGCACTTTGCTGCTAAACCCAGCCATGGCCAGTGATTATTTGGGGGCAGGGGAGGCGAAATTCTCAAAGATCCATCTCATCCTGGGCACCCTTTTTTTGAACTATTACAATCTGGGAGATGGTACAGAATATTAAAACAAGCACAAATAGGCTGAAAAACAGCTTCTATCCCAGGGCAGTAGCTCTTTTGAATTCTACTGTATAGTGCAGTGTTGGTGCGGTCTTGCGGTTTTCGGTTCAATGTGTGGAGTATGAAGGATGTGTGTTTGTGTTTATTTTTATGGTCATGATGTGCACTGAAGATGGTGTTTGATTTCGTTGTACAAGGTGCAGTGACAATAAAGTAAACTAAAAGAACTAAATGCTATTGCTAAATATCTAAAGGTAAGAAGAGACTTTTAGAGTTACAAGGCTTGGATATGGACATGTATTGTATAAAAAGTTAAAATACAACTGGACATTAAAATAATTTTAATAGACATGACATATTGAGAATATGGAATAGTTCAAGTTGTATCTCAAAAATACACAAGTTGTATCTCAAAAAAACGATTATGGATCTCAGTTCAAGAAGCATATCATAAAAGAGGAAACAGCGGACAAAGACCAATGCTTGATGTACTAGGAATTATTGGGAATCTATCAAGGGGAATTTAAAAGCAAATCAGGAGAGAAATAAATAGCAGAAAGATATCATTATTAATGACTTTTCCATTTACCAGATGGCAGAAAGACTCAAAATAGACAAAACGACTTATGGTATGGAAGAAAGCAAAGCAGAATTTGAAGTGCAATTGTGCAGTGATGATGAACCTGCATCTGCTAAAATGTATATAGTTTTATTGAAATTTGAAACAAGGAAGACAGGTTAAAACATGTATAAGAAAGTAGGCTAAGAATATTGGTCATAATATACAGATGCATCAGTGGTAAAAAGAGCTGAAATGTATATTGTGCTATAATTCTTATAAAATGTTGTGTTGTTGATACATGGCGCCAGAAAAATTATCTAGAATGTATGAAGGCTCTTCGAGTATATGTTGAAAATACGAACAACATGAAGAGACATTCTATCACGCTTGGTAGATATGTAAAAAAAGATTTAAAAATTGATACAAAGGATTTTAAAAAGTAATATTTCATTTACTTATTTAAAATATTTATATAGCCACCCATCTTTCAGCCACTTCTGGGTGATTCCCAATTGAAGATTTTAAAAAAACACATAAAATCATTTTAAAAACTATAATGCAGAACCAGTTAAAACATAAAACAGTAATAAAAACCTAGTACCAATCTATGCTAATAGGCCATCTGAACTCTCAACATTTTGGAGTAAAACCCAGGTCTTTAAGGCTTTACAGAGGGTTAAAAGGATGGGGGTCTGCTGAAATCAGGGGGCGAAATGTTCCATAGGGTAGGGGCTGCCAAAGAAAAGGCACACATCCCAGCTTCCATTAGATGACACATTGTTTCCTTTTACAACTGATGAATAAGCAATCAGAAAAAAAAGCCACCCTAACTTCAGTCTTCCCAGGTAAAGCAGACAGGAAACAAAACTACAGGAGCTAATTGTACTTTATCATAAGGCTACATTAACAGAAGCTTGCAAAGCTGCCAACACTTTTAACTGTCTGATCAATCAGGGTAGATCCTTCACAAGTTTTGCTTTCTGATAGCTAAGATCTTAGAGTCGCTTCCCTCTCTTTTGTCATCTCTTCCGTTTGTTCCCTAAGATCATCTACACGTTCTATTACAGTAACGGGGAAAAAATGCTGGGCTAAAATGATGTAACTTGATTGAACAGATTTTTCATATGTAGGATGAGAAGTATGTTTCAAAATATGCTGGGAAAATTTTTTCTTCATGTTGCAATTAAGTGTATGAAACAATACACGGTTTTTTCACATATTTATTCTTGTATATTTGCATGCTTGCTAGTTACATAATATGTCTCATGCCAGTTTTTATGACTTTTAAAATTCAAAGGATTTATGTGACTGAGTCCATGATTCCAGGCATTTGGTTGATATGTATACACTGCTCAAAAAAATAAAGGGAACACTTAAACAATACAATGTAACTCCAAGTCAGTCACACTTCTGTGAAATCAAACTGTCCACTTAGGTAGCAACACTGATTGACAATCAATTTCACATGCTGTTGTGCAAATGGAATAAACAACAGGTGGAAAGCATAGGCAGTTAGCAAGACATCCCCAATAAAGGAGTGGTTCTACAGGTGGGGACCACAGACCACTTCTCAGTTCCTATGCTTTCTGGCTGATGGTTTGGTCACGTTTGAATGCTGGCGGTGCTGTCACTCTAGTGGTAGCATGAGATGGAGTCTACAACCCACACAAGTGGCTCAGGTAGTGCAGCTCATCGAGGATGGCACATCAATGTGAGCTGTGACAAGAAGGTTTGCGTGTCTGTCAGGGTAGTGTCCAGAGCATGGAGGCACTACCAGGAGACAGGCCAGTACATCAGGAGATGTGGAGGAGGCCGTAGGAGAGCAACAACCCAGCATCAGGACCTCTACTTCTGCCTTTGTGCAAGGAGGGACAGGAGGAGCACTGCCAGAGCCCTGCAAAATGACCTCCAGCGGGCCACAAATGTGCATGTGGCTGCACAAATGGTCAGAAACAGACTCCATGAGGGTGGTATGAGGGCCCGACGTCCACAGGTGGGGGTTGTGCTTACAGCCCAAAGCCATGCAGGACGTTTGGCATTTGCCAGAGAATACCAAGATTGGCAAATTCGCTACTGGCGCTCTGTGCTCTTCACAGATGAAAACAGGTTCACACTGAGCACATGTGACAGACGTGACAGGGTCTGGAGACGCCATGGAGAACGTTCTGCTGCCTGCAAATCCTCCAGCATGACCGGTTTGGCAGTGGGTCAGTAATGGTGTGGGGTGGCATTTCCTTAGGGGGCCGCACAGCCCTCCATGTGCTCACCAGAGGTAGCCTGACTGCCATTAGGTACCGAGATGAGATCCTCAGACCCCTTGTGAGACCATATGCTGGTGCGATTGGCCCTGGGTTTCTCCTAATGCAAGACAATACTAGATCTCATGTGGCTGGAGTGTGTCAGCAGTTCCTGCAAGATGAAGGCATTGATGCTATGGACTGGCCTGCCTGTTCCCCAGACCTGAATCCAATTGAGCACATCTGGGACATCATGTCTCGCTCCATCCACCAACGCCACATTGCACCACAGGCTGTCCAGGAGTTGGGGGATGCTTTAGTCCAGGTGTGGGAGGAGATCCCCCAGGAGACCATCCGCCACCTCATCAGGAGCATGCCCAGGCATTGTAGGGAGGTCATACAGGCACGTGGAGGCCACACACAATACTGAGCCTCATTTTGACTTGTTTTAAGGACATTACATCAAAATTGGATCATCCTGTCGTGTTTTTTCCCACTTTAATTTTGAGTGTAACTCCAAATCCAGACCTCCATGGGTTGCTAAATTTGATTTCCATTGCTAATGTTTGTGTGATTTTGTTGTCAGCACATTCAACTATGTAATGAACAAAGTATTTAATAAGAATATTTCATTCAGATCTAGGCTGTCTTACTATTGTGTTCCCTTTATTTTTGAGCAGTGTGTGTGTGTCTCTGTGTGTGTGTGTGTGTGTGTATGTATATGTATATATATTTATATTTCTTCAGTTTTTGCGGGTACTTACATGTATGGTATTCAGCTTTGCTAGGGTATTTTCCCATGTCATTGCAGTTGTGCTTTTAAAGTTGTAGCAACGTTTCGGCAGAATCTCATCTGCCATCATCAGCACCAGATGAACACTATAAAGAAGCCTGATGATGGCAGATGAGATTCTGCCGAAACATTGCTAGAACTTTAAAAGCACAACTACAATGACGTGGGAAAATAGCCGAGCAAAGCTGAATACCATATATATATATATGTTTGTGTGTGTGTGTGTGTGTGTGTGTCTATATATAGACTATATATATATATATATATATGAAAAATGTGAAAATAATCTTCATAAAATATCAGCATCTAAATCTTTCAAAATTATATACACAGATTTGTATAGATGCAGGGTAAGGATATATCGTCATGAAAAAGTAAGTATGCCTATGGAAATTTTTGACATTTTAAATATGTTTCAACATATAGATATTTGATCGTCATGTCAATGATATTGATAAAGGAGATATGAAATTACAAATAGTATGCATCATTTGCCATGCTGTAATCCATTGTGTAATTTAAATAAAAGCATATGTAGATTTTGCACGCAAATGTAAGTACACTCCTATTATTTATTACTTATAAAATACCTCACATTAGAATCATGTGCGCCAAATCTGGGGCAAATGCTTAGCCCATCATTGGTGAAAATTTGGTAACTAGCCTTGTTGAAACTTCAGATATGTATTCTGATTTGCTCTCTGCTGTTGAAATGTAAGGTATTGCCATATCTAGATCAAAAGAAGTCTCTGGGTATTCAGAAAGAACATTAGAGATACCTATGCAATTGGGGAGAGATTTAAAAATATTGCCAAACAAGTAGACATGAATCATTCCACTGTCTGGAAGATCATCGATGACAGGAGAAGACTTCCAACAGCTGCCAACTTGTCCAGGCCAGGTCTGGACAAATTTCCACCAAATGTAGTATGAGAGCAGAACACAAGATGCTGAAAGAATCCTAGAATTTTGTCAAGTAACCATCAGGTAATTATTCTATTACCAGTATCAAAATGCTTGAATTAGTCATGGGAAAGCTGCACAAATTCAATCTAATAGGATAGATGTGAGGAGGAAAATTTGTTGTGTAGAAAGAATATCAGGGCAAGCTGCTCATGAATTTCTAGGCAAAGTCAAGATTTCTGGAACAATGTACTCTGGACAGATGAAGCAAAGAGGGTTTATTTGGCTATAGTACCATTATCACTGGTAAATCAAGGGCAGTATCTCACCAGATGAATGTGATACCAACTATAAAGCATGATATCATAGTACAGTTTGGGCTGCTTTGCTGCAATAGGATTTGGGCAGCACAACATCACAGTTTCTATTAGGAATTCTCCAGAGGGTGCTCGGAAGTCTGAAGCTCATCCCAAAGTTGAGCTTGGAATATGACAATGACAGTAAATATCACAGCAAATCATCCCAAGATTAGGTTAAAAATATAAAAGGAAGGGTTCTGGAATGGCCAAGTCAAAGTCTGGATTGAAATCCCACTGAGATGCTGTAGATGAATTTAACATGAGCTGTGCATACAAAAGTCCCACAAATATAATGGGGGGGGGGGAATCTGAATGGAGAAATGGGAAAGATTTCTTCCTGTTCAATATCAGAGACTGGTAGACAGTTATAAAAAAATCTATTTATGGTTGTTTTTGTAAAAGATGTTACCTGTTATTAGAAAGAAAGATGTATTTCCTTTTCCCACAGAAGGAAATAGCACATTTGTTAATTTTTTGTTCAATAAATGACTACAAAATCAATTTTTCATATTCTTGTTCAGTGATATCACCTTTATCTTTATAAACTACTCGAATGAAGATAAAATGCTATGTGCATATATGTTAAAAAAGACTTTAACATAGTGAAAAAGTACTTTTTTGCACAACTATATATAGAGATTTTGCACTACTGAACTTGAACTGTACTATTCATGTGGCTGGAAAGAGAGATTCAAGGCACAGGCAAACAATGCTATTTAAACTTTACATATGTAATTTATAACATTTGAAACAAAGAATTCCTCTTAAGAATAGACAAATATATTTGCACAGATCTAGAGCCTACAATTATTAATTAAAACATCTCCCAGACTACTTATATTACAGCTGCAACATTTTAGACTGAGAAAATAAAACTATACGAAGAAAAAAGATATACCTTTAAGTACATAATAAAACATATATTTCACCTAATTCATTTTTAATTTCAATGGATGGACCCTGCAATGTACCATAAAGTGCGCAAATTTTGTTGTGGGTCTATTGATGTCAAATAAAAAGGTTATGTATTTTAATTTTCACCTTTAGACGTAGTGTCTTTTCTAAGTTTGAAATCTTTCCTTCAGCTATTTTGAGCTTCCTTAGTTCTTCTGACTCTTTCAAGAAGCTCTTTGGGGACAGAGACCTTGAACGTTTCACAGGTGGTTTCTGGAGAATAAAACAAGGACATGGTTGAAGTGGTTGGAACGCTGGATTATGAAAGACATGCAAAATTAAAGAACAAGTAATTTTGAATACTAATAATGAATTATAAAAAAAATCCTGCATGGTATACCAGAGAAATAACAAGCAGAATTACCACAGCGTTACCACTAAAGGTTTCTCTGTGACTCGTTAATGAGAATATTCATTTACATTTACATTGTTTCTTTCAGAATAATGATGTCCCATTAGGGAAGACTAAAGGGTTATAGTCTCAGAAATGCAAGAAATCTCATTACAAAGGAGGGGATAGAGGCTGATCTAATTGCTCTATAAGGGTCCAAGGTTACACTTGATAGGACAACCAGAAACAAGAGGGAAAGAGTTTTTTCCCTCTGAAATAGTTTAACACACTGTGAAGTTGAAGGAACAATATGCTTGAGGAATATAAATAAAACAGACAGTAGATCTTATACCATAATGACCATATGGTCATTAAATATAATATGCCTAACTAGAGACAAGAATATGTGTTTATATTATGTGCAGCTTCATGTAGCAATCTGGAGAAAGGATGTGTGAAACTAGCACTTAAACTGGGCAACCTTCTTGCTTGTACTATGTCAAATGTTTTTATGTAAAACAAATAAAATATACAGATTAGTTTTACTGAATTTCAGTAACTGTGATTAGTATATGGAGCAACATTTTAATCATAATACTAATCTTAAAGTCTTAATGATTTAATAAAATTGTGCAAAATATGAAGTGACATTTTGTCCATGGATTTTTTTTTTAGTTAATAATAATAAAAAAAAAAGAATTTACTTTCTTCCAAAAGTCATTACAGTTGTTCTTTTGAATAAAAGAAAAAGGACTGAGAGTGTTTAGCTTTTAATTCTGAATAGAAAAAAGGCAGAAAGTACAAACTTTTGCCCATGACAGAGATTCAGTTTTAAAATATGTTTTCTTTGAAACATTTCATGAGTACAATTTAAAGAAAAGAGGCTAATTTATTTTATCTATTAAAATAAATCACATTATCAGTCAAAATACACAGGAATAAGAATTCCCAATATATATATTAAAAACAAAGTAAATCTGCCACATCACACCTCGATGACACGTTTGTGTCTTTGAGGGAAGAAAACAGACACAATATAGGCAGATTTACGCAGCAAAGCCCCCCTCCAGATATGTTGGACCCATAAGCACCATGGAACATAAAGGAACATATTTGGCAGGCAATAGATTGAGGAATACTTATATAAGTATTAGATATAATTCCCAGTAAATATATCCTGATAATGATGTGCAAGTTAAGAATCTGGAAGTGAAGATGGGAATGTTTGATCAGAAAAATATTGAGATTGGATTTGAGTAAGAGGAGATGTTATTCTTGTCAGGCTACAAGAATGATCTGCGAAAAGGTGATATATTGGATGTACAAAGGAAAGATGATGTTTCCATAATTAACATAGATGTAATGGTTTGTGACAAAAATCTTGAGAGATGGGATGAAGAAATGCTGCCTAGGAAACTGTCAGTTAAGACAAGATGTAGCCCTTGGTTTCTGCATAATGGAAAGCAAAAGACACTCAAATAGGACTTTCTCCAACTTTTCAGGCTGTTAAGGAGATTTGAATTTTCAGACTTGCAAGATTATATTTATGAAGTCTTACAATAAAATAGAATTAGTTCCCTTAGCCATGTTTCCTATTTAGTTTACCTGAAAAGGCTGACAAACAAATAACAAAACAGAAGAGTGACTTGAATGATTTTCCTATATTAATTTACAAAGGAGACCTGTTAAAAGTTTTGAAAGACTTGCTGATTAGGGAGAATGAAAAAATGAAAAGAAATCAAGTTCTTTACGGAATATTACTTGAAGAGTTTAAAAACCAATATTGTTAAAAATAAAAAGAAGGTAAAGTTGGTTTATTTGATCAAGGTTAAAATGGTTATTTTACTGTTATACTGCTTATACTGTTACTTACTTCTATGTTTTTTTATATAATCCTTAATGGACTTTTGCTGACCAGGAGTGAAAGGCAAAGTTTTAAGGATTTGTTTATAGATAAAAATGAGATATAGGATAATATAGTTTGTTTGTTGTATTTTAAGATACGGTGGAAACTTATTAAAATGGTCTATACTTCTTGTGACTAAGGGTGAAGTTCTTTCTTTCTTTCTTTCTTTCTTTCTTTCTTTCTTTCTTTCTTTCTCTTTCCTTCCTCCCTCCCTCCCTTCCTTTTCTTTCTGTTGCTATGTTCTTTTTTCCTGCACTCTGTATCTTGTATTTTTGTCATTTATATTAATTGTTATCTGTATAATTATAGTGCTTAATAAAATCATTTTAACACAAGAAGTAAAGGAATAATTAGTCTTAGCCTTTGCCTAGATATGAAGGAGAGGGTTTTTTTTGTCTATGCACCAAGGAAATAGAGACTAGTTATTACCTGGGGGGGGGGATTCCCCCCCCCAATTCAGGCTTTTAATGCTATCCATTTCATTTCAAAAGCAGTGTGGCACAGTTATGCAGAAAAAAAAAGTGCCCGAGAAAGAGAAGGAGTTATAATATTTTTAATAGTTAAAAGAAGGACTGCACAAGAGCACCTTGGATGCCAGTAATGTTACTACTTGTGCACATGAACAAAAGAACCACTTTCTTCTGCATACAGAACATTAGAGTGACCCTTTCCAGTATTCATCTCCATGAAGAGAAAGATAATAGGGATAGATAAAGCTTTGTGGGACAAGAAAGTCACATTTGAATCTCTACAGACTGGATTTGAAGTCCTCCTAGGTCACATTCGGCTCATAAGTTTCAGACTTTTATTATCCATAGTTGTTATTATTATTCATTACATTTTATATTACCCAATTCCCATAGATTCTACATGATCTACATGAGTATCAGGAGTTCTATTATTATGTAATTGCATTGCAGAACAATTTTTCCAAGCTGATTTTCTATACTGAAATGTCACTTTATAAAATGGCACCAACATATAGGAATATCTATAACAAATTTGGTATTTACAAATGCCCACGTAAGAGTAGATAGATAGATACATCAAGTACAAATTCTGAAGCACTTAATAAGTAATTGTTTTATTTTTATCTATCTTGAAATTGAAATTTTAGGTGATCTAACCTTACCTCAAACTGTTAGGGCTGCTGCTTGCATTTTATTTTATTTATTTACTTGCTGCTTATGTCAATGTTCTTGGGTGATTGACAAACATGAAGATACCAAATTCCAAATCAATTAAATGATGGGTGTCAATCTCAAGGCCTGTGGGCTGGATCCAGCCCACAGGTTGTTTAGATCTGGCCCACAGGGCCACCCTGGAAACAGTGAAGGACTGGCCCATGGTGCCTCTGCCAGCGAAAATGGAGCTTGAAAGGGCCACCCACACCCCTCCCAAGCTCCATTTTCGCTGGCAGAGGTTTGCAGGAGGCCGTCGCAATTGAAAATGGAGCTCAGGACCCAGTTTTCTCTGGCAGAGTGCTCGGGCCACTACAGGCGCCCCAACACGAGTGACATTGAGCTGGCCATGCCCACCCTGGCCATGCCCACCCCAGCCCCCCAAGGTCAAACACAACCCTGATGAAATAGAGTTTGACACCCCTCAAACTCAGGGTAATCTTGGGTCTAAACTTTGTGAATTTTTATGTAGCAAAGTGAGCATCTTAAATTTGACCCAGAAAGCAAGTGGCACTCAGTGAAGCAACCTCAGTGCAGAAAAATATACTACTTCTCACAATTACAGCATCTTTTTTTATTTGAATTATGTTTGAGTATCAGGTCTCAGCAGATATTTTAATAGAATGTATTGTTGCTTTATTTGTGTTCTAATTACTGATGCAGTGAAACAAGGCATAAACTTTCAAAGGAGAATAAAAGAAAATTTCTAAGAAACAAAAATTACTGCATTTAAAATCAGTAATTAATTCTAAAAGTAAAGTAACATCATTTATATAAATTCCTAGCTCAGCATTTTCACTAATTACAAACTTTTAAATCCAAACTTGATTTCTTTAACTTAACCTCAGTTTCCTCTGTTTGGAAAAAAACAGACAGCCACACAAACACTATCAAGTAATAAATATTCATCTAAGAATTCTACAAAGAATTGAACTTTTAAATAATTTAATTAAATTAACAATCCTTTATCCAGTGTTTAATAAGGTAAAACTTCCTACTCCCAAAAGTTATTTTAACAAGACTTTGGCAGATAATAAAAACACTCTTCGATAAAGCTTCCAGAATTATAAGTAGCATTGACAGTTATTAAAACTGTTATTATCCAAGCCCCAGAACAAAATGTCAAACTTTGCCAGCCTCATTTTGACACAAATACACAAGGCAATAAACGCTTTCCTACCTTGTATTTTTTCCCAGCCCTAGTACTGATGCAATCCAAGAAATCTCTACTGCAAAGACTATGATTTGCCAGTGAACGATTTGTTCTTTTCAATTTTTTTTGCAAAAGCTCTATTTCAGTCTTCTGAGACATTACGAGGTATTTTAGCTCTGTTAAAGAATGCTGTTGGAATTCCTAGAAAATGGAAATACAATACCTTAGAATACTGTAGGTAAAATCAATATTTGGAGTAGCATTTGCAATGACATCATGTTTACATTTTAATTAAGTACATTTAAATAACAAAAGCCAGTTGTTTGTACAAAAGGAGGTAGGAGTGAGACTGAAATGGAGGAAATAATTAGACCCATACTAATATGTCTATATGCTACATTCAAAGACAGGACTATGGATTTTTCTTTGTACTGTACCAATTAAAATCATGAGGCCTCTACTCGCAACAGTTTGGATAGTTACCTCAGGTATTTTATTTATTTAATTTCATAGTCCTTTTTATCTCAAGATATATAATATATAAATATATAATTTATATATATATAAATTATAAAACCTTGATATACATTTGTTATGTCTTACCTTTCCTATCACAAGAATAGGCAGTCTGGTTCCCATATTTACCATGATTTAGGGCATTTCCTTTGTGCCTATCAGGCTCTTTGCCCGTGTTAATTTTTTTTTTTTAAAAAGATTATCCTTTTAATTAAAATATCTACAAAAGAAGCTAATGGGCTGCACAACAACACCCCAGATCCCAGTACCCATTTTTAATTCCAAGAATGTCCCTGGGACTTACTTTACAGAAAAAGAAAGGATGACCACAAGCCCCACACCACTTCAAAAGGTGACCAGACAAAAGATTTGGTGAAAAAAAAATCATTCGAATGACTATAGGGAATAGAAGGAAGCAACTCCAACAATATGTCTTCTGCTAAGTGGAATGCTGGCAATGACCACCTTGCGAATGAGAAAACTCATTTTGTGAGCAGCAACAATTTTGCAAGAGAGTATCTAATATGTTCAAAATGCCAGACCTGCTGATAGAGATTACTAATTCTGCCCCTGAGGCTAAAACATATGAAGAACAGTTGCAGGAACTGGGGTGCAGGAAAATGGGGGGGGGGGGGGGGAGGCGGAAGGTAGATCCATTTGATATGTTTGCCATCTTCAGTCGTTTATAAAAATAATAAAGGAGGGATATAAATAAAATAAAAACCATCACGGCTAGATGAGCCAATTTTATTTTCTTTAAGGGTGCATTAACAGAATCTGGCAAATCTGAAGGTACAAATCTCCCATTGCCTCTTTAACTACCTGATCAGTCATGGTGGGTTTTAAGAAGCTAGTAGTTATATATAGCTTGGGACCTGGGTAGATTTGAGACAACCTCATATAGATAGAATCTGCCTGCCTAATACATACAATCAATATTGATTACTGAGTATACCCACCAATCAGAATGTACGACTGGATGAGGCACAGGAATGGTATTTCACTGTGGGAATTTACATTCTATGGAACAATTTGCACCCCAAGCTGTTATAATCCAGGTCGTGTAGGCATATGCAGGCTTTAATAAAGTCCTTTATTGCTTTTCTATCCCACAACAAATGGCCCTATAACGGCCAGTAAACCTCCACCTCAAACTTTCTCAAAGTCAGCCAACCACAGTCAGGGCAACAAGTCCCACAAACTAAAGCCAATAGTCACCAGAGCTGATACACAAGGCTAGGAGGAAGTCATGGTGGGTTTTAAGAAGCTAGTAGTTATATATAGCTTGGGACAAAGTCCTCAAGGCAAGATCCATAGTCCACAAGCAAGGTCAGAGTACATGGGGCAAAACACGATCTGAAGTAGAGTTTAAAGCCGAGGAAGTGCATCCCAAAGTCACTTTATTCCTGACAAAGACACCTCCCCCCCCCCCCGGTCTCTGATTAAATCAGTTCAAGTCAGATGTTTCTAGTGAGGAGGAACAGGGTGGCTTCCTTGCCAGCAGCCTCACAGAACTCCTTTGAGCTTCCCTCCACTCCACTCTTCATGCCCTCGGATCGGATGAAGAAGGAAGGTGTTCCACCTCAGAGGGGATCTACTGCCTTTCATACCACGGCCTGTCTGTTGCTGATCCTCCCCCGGGGTTGTGAGGGCAGGCAACTTTCCGTCCGGTTGACTACCTCCCCCAATGCCAGAGGATCCTGGGACAGCATTGTCCTGAGCCCTGGGCTCTCCAGACATTCCACGGGAGATGTGCCATCCCCATCGGATGCTCCTGATTCCAACTCCTCCTCCTCCTCCTCTAATCTGGGATCCGATGGGGCTATGACACAAGCTGAATACTGTCTCACAGCATTCTGAAAACTTGTTAAGATCTGGTTATTTTTGAAGCCTTTTGGAGGTAGATTACTGTTGAGAACACTGCCATGAAAAGTTGGATTAGTATTTAGTAAGAGATAATTATTTTTATTGGTTCACTATATTATATATGTTGTTTTGAAGAACAATTAGAAACTTATTCATTCATTTGTTTGTTCATTCATTCATTCATTTACTCGTCTATTCAATTTATATAGTTTTCCATCTCAAACAAGTGACTCTGGACAGCAAACTATCTTAAAATCAATTAAACCAATTAAAACACAATAGAAAAGAAAAATAAAAGACAAGAAAAATTAATATGTGTTCATTACACTTTATGGAAAACTGCATTTTAACTATTGTATGTAAAAGAGATGCCTTCTTCCCATCAAAGAGAAACATAAGACAAATGCCACCCTACAGAAATAACTTTGTTGGTATGTAAACTACCCAGAAACACACTTGGATTGACTTTTTTAACCAATGGCTTTCAATTATAATTGTATTAATATCAGGTACCAGCCTTTCAGATCCCCTATGGTTAATGCTCGTAGTGGCTGCCAAGCACTTTCTAGCTCTTTGTTCCAGATGGCTTTTGCCTTCTTCAGGAACTCCAACCTTTCTTTAGGATCAAATGCTTCATCCCAAAACAAGTGCTGACAGTAACTGCCAAGAAAGTGCTCCCTTAGCACAGTTTTCTGCTGGATTTCTCACTTCCACAAAACTGTTTAAAGAAAAGGATGGCAGGTTTATTGGACCATTCCCTCTAATAGCACAGATCAAACCTATGATTTTTTGTTGGCAGCTTCCAGTCACAGTTAAAATACATTCAGTTTTCCAACATTCCCTCTTGTCTCTCTTTAGCAGTTTTGCCCCATTGCCATCTTGAAGAATGTAAGGAAGAACTTTTGAGATGGAACTTATCTGGATTCCTTGTATAGGAGGAACAACAGTCAGATGGGGCTGTCTCAATGCCAAGTTTGGTATACTGACTAAAGTGCTGACAAGCAACGAGGACATCTTCAGTACCAGTCCACCCATAGTAAGTGACTTTGGGTCAACCATTCTCAGCCCAACCCATTTGTTATTGTAAAGAAAATAGGAGGCAGGAGACTGAATATGTATGCCATCCTGAGTTCACCAAAAACAAAGGCAGAATAAAAATCTAATAAATAAACCAACAAATAAATACAACATTTATGGGACATTCTTGCATACTTCCTTGAAGTTCTGTTCACAGTATTTCCATAAATTCTATCTGCTACCCACCAGTAGTTCTCAGAGGAAGGGAATAGATTTCCTAGCAGTGGGAGAGGGAAGTTGTTGTACAAGTAATGACTTAGCATATTGTGATCTTTCCTTGATGATACTTTCTGCCCTTGGCTAGATAAAACTCTGGCAGACCATATGGGGCTTAAATATTCAAACGGAAAGAGTGTCACTCAGCTTGTAATATTCAAATATAGTTCAAATTAGGCTCATCGTTTTTGGTGTGTCTTTGGTGTGACTTCCCCCAATTTTGTCTTTGGGGGAACTTCTTACTTGCTGGACAAGTTTGGCTCTATGTAAAAATATGCATTAACATTGACTTGGCACGTTGTAGCCTTTCCTTGTTGACACTTTTTAACCTTTGTACGGAGCTATTCAAATGGACAAAGCCAGGTTTCCCATCTTTTCTCTAATATAATTCCATCTCAGTCTTGGACTACTTCTATATAGTGTTTTAATATCCTCCTCACAGGAGACTTCTTTTTAATTTTGACATGAATTGGCTGCGATCCATAAGAACAATATCTAACAGACCCCCACGTGAAAACTATGCTCATGCTCAGTTGTAGAGGCTGAGTGTGCGTCACATGTATTATTAAAATGCCCATTATATACTCAATGCTGATACAGTCCTAGTTGTCAGTAATTTTAATTACTTCTGTGATTATGAGATTACTGCTCTCCTTATATGTATTCTTTTGTCAGAAACTTCTAAGAAGTTTGCAATTTTTTTATCAATAGTCATGGCTTCAAACCATTGTTTCAGTTTTTCAATTCTTTTCCTTTTATTCACTGTATATAAGGAGCTACAGGTGAAACTCAAAAAATTAGAATATCGTGCAAAAGTTCATTTATTTCAGTAATGCAACTTAAAAGGGGAAACTAATATAGGAGATAGACTCATTACATGCAAAGCAAGATAATTCAAGCCGTAATTTGTCATAATTGAGATGATTATGGCTTACAGCTCATGAAAACCCCAAATCCACAATCTCAGAAAATTAGAATATTACATGCAATCAATAAAACAAGGATTGTATATAGAACAATACCAGACCTCTGAAAAGTAGAAGCATGCATATGTACCCAGTACTTGGTTTGGGCCCCTTTTGCAGCAATGACTGCCTCAATGCAGCGTGGCATGGAAGCTATCAGCCTGTGGTACTGCTGAAGTGTTATGGAAGACCAGGATGCTTCAATAGCGGCCTTCAGCTCTTCTGCATTGTTCAGTCTCATGTCTCTCATCTTTCTCTTGGCAATGCCCCATAGATTCTCTGTGGGGTTCAGGTCAGGCGAGTTTGCTGGCCAATCAAGCACAGTAATCCCACGGTCATTGAACCAGGTTTTGGTGCTTTTGGCAGTGTGGGCAGGTGCCAAGTCCTGCTGGAAAATGAAGTCACCATCCTCATAAAGCTCGTCGGCAGAAGGAAGCATGAAGTGCTCCAAAATCTCCTAGTAGACGGCTGCGTTGACCCCGGACTTAATGAAGCACAGTGGACCAACACCAGCAGATGACATGGCTCCCCAAATCAATACAGACTGGAAACTTCACACTG